AGCCACATCTACTAGCGTTTTTAGCCACATCTACTAGCGTTTTTAGCTACATCTACTAGCGTTTTTAGCCACATCTACTAGTGTATTTAGCCACATCTACTAGCATTTTTAGCTACATCTACTAGCATTTTAGCTACATCTACTAGCGTATTTAGCTACATCTACTAGCGTATTTAGCTACATCTACTAGCGTATTTAGCCACATCTACTAGCGTATTTAGCCACATCTACTAGCATATTTAGCCACTTCATTAACTCTGTTATTCCGACAGTGAAGTGATGAACGAGCTGAAAAGCTCTGAGTGTATCAGTGTCTCCACAGTAATAAGGTCGGTGTGTTTTGTTAAAAGACGTGGGACACAATCTTCTTGACCTTAAATCAGACACAGAGCTAAAGTCTTTAAGTCCTCCATCACTGAGTTTGGGTTCATTACAGAGAAAATCATAAAACTGAAGATGAACAAATACTTTAAAGTTGTGACCTCCATACACCTGAAGTCATCCCTGATGTTCTCGTCACTGTTTTCAATCCTTCTGAGGATCCGGCGTCTCTTCTCCGGTGGTTTATTGTTGTCCAGACTCAAAGTAGGACGCAGGTTTTCCTCCGTCGGCTGTTTGTCAACAAAGTGACATGAGCTCACATGCAGAGTTTTGGGTGGTCTCTTGAATGTCACATCTGTAGGTCGGAGATGGAAACTATAACTCTTTACACAGGAACTCTTTGTTTTGGGTCCGTGTTCAAACTCTGTTGTTGTAGCCACTGATTTAGTTTGGTCTGGTTGTTCTGCAGCCCTGAACACAACAGGTACCTGAACGCAGCACGGCTATTTTAGTAAACTTTATGTTTGTTAAATAACGTGAACAAAACAAAAACAGAGTTTTATCTGCTGAACTTAATGTAAATTACTTTCAAATAAACGGTGCAGTCTGTGCTCTGCTACTGTGGTTAACGCTGTAGTACCCAGAATCATTTAGACAGTAGAGCCCCCAGGAATAATGTGGATGTGATGGTTCTGAACAATCTTTCTGCTGCGCTCCTGAGTTGAATAAATGGTGTATAATTGTAGTTTTAGACTTTAGATGATAACATATTGGTTTCAAATTATAGAAGTGGGTTTTAATTCATTTGTTTGTTTTTTAGATGCTGAAATCAAAAGGTGTCAGATTAGAGCGAGGGGGCGTCCAACCAGGAAGCCAGCCCCCCCGCCACCTTCTGAAACACGATCAGATCACCCACAACGTGAACACCAGGAGCCACAAACCCAAACAGAGCCCAACCCCCGCTGGTTCCCCCTCCTCGAAGAACAACGATAACCGCACTCCCAAGAAGTCTTCGTCTTCCCTCCTGCCTCGGCCCCAGGAGCAGAAGAAACCCCTCCTGGCCTCAACCAACGTGAAGATCATAAACAGCCCCCCCACTGAAGACGAACACCTCAAAGATGGAGAAAAGATCTACGCTGGAGCCAAGTTCAGCGAGCCCCCCTCACCCAGTGTCCTCCCCAAACCCCCCAGCCACTGGGTGGGAGAAAACCAGCCTCAGCAGAGCAACCGAAGCCGTGAGCTGATGACCGTGCACCTGAAGACTCTGCTCAAAGTCCAGGATTAACCTTCAGAACCTGGAGACGACCTTCAGAACCTGGAGACGACCTTCA